CCTTGGTGCTGGCATACATCTACATGTGTAAGCAGCCCATTGGCCCACGTGGTGCTGGTCACGTGGGTATGTTTGTACCGAAGCTCCTTCAGCTTAGGCTAACAGGTGGTACTCTAAGCCCGTTATGCATAGTCCTGTTTGGGCGTTGGGCCCGCTGGGCCTATTCCAACAGTTAGCAATAATCCGATCTACTCTTTTTTGAGAGAGATTGAGAGGGTTTTTCTTTGATTTTTTCATCGTATCCTTTTTTTTTTTTTTTTAGTATGTGAAAGTATTTGTATATCTTATTTACGTGATCTACTTAACTCAATAATTATGATATGATGTGTTTGATGGAGCAAACACCTTAACATAACGTGCCTGGATAGAGTAGCCAGGCGTGACCTGTTCTGACAAAGCAGGTCTCTTGGAGAAAGAGAATTAAGTAAGGATAAGCAGTCGGAAAGAGCGGTTCTCATTATAATTGCCATGCAACTATTGGAGAGCATTGGGCTCTGCCTATGGGAGAGCATTGGGCTCTGCTCTGCCCTTACAAATTTGTTCATTCCCTGCTTGAGTTTAGACTCACCTTTTGTTAATGAAAAGTGATGGCCTAATTAAGAAACTAAATAAAAAATTTAGAGAATGCAAGTCAGGACAGCGTATTTTGCGTCCAGAAATGAGAGGATTTGATACAGCATGTTGGCCGGCAAACTACTGAGTTTGTCTTGCTCATCAGAATCGCTGTCGCTGTCATCGTCCTCCTCCTCCTCCCCTGCGAAAGTCGGGCATAGGAATGGGCTATGTCGTCTGGCTTTTTGTTTTCTTTTAAAATCGTGTCCATAAAGCAGACTAGGTAGGGTAGAGCCTTTGAAACTGGTTTCTTTCCGGGGCGATTTCTCTCATTTTGTGACTTTTTATTGTCTGATGTTGCAAGGGGAGGAGAAAGGAAAGTGGAAAATATATGGCAAGCGGGACAAACTAAAGAGTCCAAGTCGATTCAGTGTTAAGCCAAAGCCCATTAATACTCCAACAGCTCATGTGCAAAAGCATTATTAAATTAAGGCGAACCGTCCCAATTGTCAAGGTATTGCCTGTCCATGGAAACTGGAATTTGTTCATCTGCTCCTTGTCCTTGGACTACCGAGCATTGATAACAATTTTTTTGGGCCATCTCAAGTTAACAATTTAAGTAGTTAAATTTTGAAGGTAAAGAAAAAGTAAAAAAAATGCTCTAATTATTTTTCTTTTTCCTTTTCTTTTATGAGTTCTTTATTTTTTTAATACGTAAAAAAAGTACAATTTAAATGCTAAATTTATTAAAATGTCATTAATAAATTAACTAATAGAGAGATGAGTTTCATTAAAAGTGTTTTGGTAATTTCAATAGTCAAATTATATTTCTTTTTTTACATTTTGTATTGATAAAATATTTTCCTATTCTTCTATTGCCATAAAAAAAAATATTGTGGATTGGTCATGTGGTCTAATATGGTATACCTTTATTGTTTTTTTTTTTTTTGAACATTTTGACGCGGGGCAGGTTCGAAACCCGCCCATGGAAGGGGGGAATGCACCTAGCAAGCTGGCTAATGCCAGTGGGCCTCTAGGCCCAGGTGCATACCTTTATTGTTATTTATCTATTAAGAATAATGAATTTTCATGTTTTCATTTTATTTTAATCATAGACAATTTATTACAATTAGGGGAAGAGGGGATGGAAAATAAGGAAAGGGGTAGTAGATATTGAATACAACCCACTAAATGAATTCTACATGAAGTGGCAAAGTTATTGTAGTTATAACGTGAATTTCTATGTTTTCATTTAAGTGTTAGATTAATAAATTTAATAATATTGAGAATTAAAAAAATTAAATTTATATTAACAACAATAGGTAGTTTTGGCCTTGGGGCTTGACTAGCCAAAAATTAGTTTCAAGGACTTATTACTAAACAAATGAAATATTTGGGATATAAGAATTGAGGTTTTTCCCAACAGTTTTCCCACTCACTATCTTTCCTCTCGCAGACAGTTCTCAAAAATTCTGCAATTCGTACGCACGAAGCTGCAGAGATGAAGGTCTCCCTCAAGCTCCAAGATGAGCGGAGCCCAGTTCTGAGAGCCAAAATTCCTGTCTCCATATTCAACCAACCTTTCGTTTCTGGCCTCACCACTGCTACCACCATCAGCGGCAACGCTGAATCCTCTCAAAATCCTTCCTTTTCTCTCTCCACCAATTTCCCTTCTGGCCCTTCTCTCAAACTCTCTTATGCTCCCTCAAGCATGGCCTCTGCCCCTTTTTCCCTCTCCCTCAAATCAGGTCTTGGCCTCTTTGGCTCGCCGCGCAACTCTCCTCTCATCTTCTGTGCCCAATTCTCTCTGCCCGCCTCAAACCCTAGTTCTATCAACCCAATTTTTTCTCTCCATTTCAAGCCCCAAATTGGTAACTTTTCTATCCGCAAGGCTACTTCATCAAACCCCAGCCTCGAGCCAGATACTGGGCCACAAACCCTCGTCCAATCTGGGTCGCGTCCGAGTTCTGAGTTTGCCCCGGACGGATCATCGCTCTGGCAAGAGGTGAAATTGGAGCCAACTAGTGTCGATGAAAATGGGTTTGTAGATGCTACCTCTAGTTATGCTGATGGTTTACATTCAAATAGTGGAATTGGGTTCGTTCCTCAGAGGTCATTGGTGAAGAAAGATAGCAAAAAAGTTGGGCTTTGGGGCGGAATTTCTGTTACAGCTAGAACATTGTTGCCTGTGACAAAAAGGCTGGTAGTGAATTTTCAATGGTCTCTGAATTTGGCGACAGAAATAGGGCAAAAAATGCCATATTTGACAGTCAACAAAATTGGGATTGAGAGGATGGAGGAGGTGAAAGAAGTGAAGGATAAAGGTGCTGAGAGTAATGCTGGTGAGGTAGATTTGTTGAAAGGAATGTGTTTCTGGATGGGAAGAGATTTGGAGGCATTGGGAAGGGAGAATAAAGAATTGAAGCAGTGCCTGGAAGAGATGAGACAGGGAATTTCAGCAAGGACTTCTCACAGGGAGAGTGAGAGTTTTGGGGGGAAAGTTCCATCGCCTTCAGTTGAGAAGACAACTGATTTTGAGCAGTGGAGGAGCAAGAAAAATGGTGGGGAAGAGAGTGGTGGAAAAGAGTTGAAGAAGGGTGCAAATAAGATGAATGATGTGGAAAGTGAATTGCAGAAGGCTATCAAGGCTGCTGCTTCAACTTAGCAAAGTAGGAAACCTTTTTTGAGATTAGGCAATTGTAGCAAAGTTGGAAACTTGGAACTTTGCAAGTATGATCCTCCCATGTATATAATGATTTGCCCACGCAGCCTTGTTCATTGTGTATAAACTATAAACCTAGTTTCAGACTGTTTGATGTCCTTTTTTCTATGGTTGTTGTAATGAATTGGAACTTAGGGAGTGTAATGGTATTTGGAAAAAGCTTGGATGTCATGTTTTTAGCATTCTGTCTCTGAAGTCATGGACTCATGGAACTTTTAAATTTTCTGTCTTCTTTGGAGCTCAATACCATTCCTCAGTTGCTGGGCTACCATTGGGCTGAAAAGGCCCAAAAAATTGGATTTTTGAACGGGCCCAGGTTTGGGACTGAAGTATTAAGCCATAACTGTAGTTGCCATTTGGCTCTGGTTTTTGCTTAGCCGGTGACAATGGCGACCCAATCATCAGGAGGAGCTCGGAATCAAAAGGGGATGAGCGGTGGAGAAGGGACGGCAAAAGCGACGGTGAATGATCAGATTTCTCAGGCCGTACAATCAACCGCCAATCTCATCCACCTCATGCAACAGTCCTCACCTTCGCAGGTACCACAACATCTGTCTATGCTCCCATGTCTGCGTTGGTATGGATATAATTAAACTATGATATACATGATTTTTGTTATTATTTCCGCTTCCTTAATTCATTCCCTGTGTTGAAATAGAGTAAAAGCTTTTATCTTTTAATTTTATTTGACTTTTGGAAATATGTTTAATTGGGTATTAAATGAAGCTTAGAAAAGAATTGGGCAGTGGTGAAGTGGATTTTACTTCATTTGTGGATCAAATAGACATTAGGAAAGTGGGTTTTGGTTAGATTGATACTTTCTGCGAGAAATTCTTGCAAGCTAACTGTTTTATTGTTTTTGATTGTGATTTACAAGAAAATCTTGGCAAAGTGATATGATGGGATATGACATAACCATGTGAGAGAGTCGGCAATTTGTTCAGTTTGTGAAGTGTAATACGGTCATTGATTGGACCTATTTACCCTATTAAACTGATCCAGCTTTTCATTTGTGTTAGATTTCTTTGTAGAATTATGTTAATTTTGCCCTAAATTGGTATAGTTTATCGTTTTTGTTAAGTTTCTTTGAAAACTTGGATCAGCATATTCGTTATAGATGCTTGGATGTATCTGACTTGACAGTGCAGATAACATACAGCTCTTGTTAAATGAAGGTTTCATTCACACATGTAGTTGAGGACTTGAAGTAAATCAGTACCATTACTAATGGTGAAATTCTTCTTAATGTGCTTACCTTGTCTAGGTTTTTCTTATGGATATGTTAATCCATGTGGGCAATAGAAATGCAGAAGATGGTGTAACTTTTAATTCTATATATGACTAAAGTCTATTGCGTGAAGGTGTCAGTGTTGTTGCTCATCGTCATATTTTACAACTTTCATACAATCGACTCTTTTTCTAATTTTTTTTTTTTTTTTTTTTTGGGGGTGGGGATTGAAGGATTGAGCTTGACTGGATATTTTGACTTCATCTTCCTGGTCTATTTCGGATGCAGTTACTCCTATATAATATGTGGTCTCATTTACAGGCTCAATTAAAGAAGCTCCCGAAAAATCTTTTGGCCAAAACCCTGACAATCCAGAATACTGGGCAGGTATATAATACCTCTTTACCAATTTTACATATATTTGATTTCACCAAAAAACAAAGAAAGTAAACACATGTGTGGTATTACTTGAGAAGCAATAACTTTGATCCCATTCTTCGCTGCCCTCTTGATGTAGGTGTTAGAGCAAATGCCTAGGGTGATTTCATCCCTTGATGCCCATATGGAGATTGGACTGCAGAGGTTGTTTCCACTTGCATCCTTGTTATCTTGGATCAAGATATCCATTGATTTTTGGAATTGTTAACTTGCTAAAAGCCACTTCAAAAATATATGAAAAGGAATGTGTTGCAATTGGAGACATGGCAAGGAAATTGTTCTGACTTCTTAGAAGTTGATTAACATCATTAGCGGATAGGAGCCAATGCATATTGGCTGTTCTGTGAATGCTTATGGTTCTGGAAGAAACCTTGACTCCCTGGCCATGAGTGAAAAGAGGCCTTTTATTGATCCCAATTACTTAAGTTGTCAAATATAAGATTTCTGACCCTCTTGGCTTATTTGAGTTACAAATTTTGCAGTGTTCCTCATCTTAACACCATAACCCAGTTGCTTGCAAATATGGAAAGCTGGCAGGTTAGTCCTCTCTCTCAAGCTCATCCCATTCCAGAGGAAAAGGTATGATCTCCTTCTCTCTCAATTACACGTGCACCCATCTGCACTGACTGTGGACACACACACACACACACATGTTCATTCAAAATGTGCTTATTGTGAATCACAAAAAGATGTTCCACGTCAATTAACACCATTTCCACCAGCTGTTACCGACTTGATGATTGCTTGGAAAACTAGTGCTGTCACTGAAATTTCTTTTACTCGTTTTCATTTCATCCAGGAATCTTATCAAGCAAATCAACATTCAGCCATTGGTTGACTTGACTTGACTGGCCTAACTTTGAATCCAATTCGGCTGGCATCTTGGATAGCATGTCCAACACGGTAAACATTATGATCACGGATTGAAAAATATTGGCTCCTAGAATGTTTTATGGGACATTATAAAATATGATCATTGGATATATTAAGCAATCTGTCCACTGAATTCAAACCCCCGTTGTCATATGACACTTTCGGTGTAGATTGAATGTATTTAGGGAACATATGCTGTCCTTTTTCCATGGAATACCATTTTTTCCATGGAACACGTTTTTTCCTTGGAAGAGCTGCATGGTCGGTACGTTTAGGAGGAAAGACATCGTCTCGTCAAAGTTGTTTATTCCCATACGTTTTCAAAGAAAAAGACATGAATATGGATCAATTCCTCAACATGGTACATATTTTTTTATTTTTTCTCCCATTCACATTCTATCTTGGCTGGATATAATTATAGGGTCGGTTTTCAGTTTTTTTCTTCTTCATTTTTTTTTTCTTTTTGTACATCTAGTGAATGATTCTACAACTAAGAGTAAGATAGTATCCCTTACAAGACATGATTAAGAGTTTGAGTCTCTAGATTAAAGGTCTCAAATTTGAATTTTAGAACAAGGGAAGAGGGGTTTGTAAAGGAGAGGATATCCACTCATCATCTAATGTATAAAAACAAAATACAATTAAGATAGCATTTATGTTTCTTGAATTTGAGTTTGAAACCTCTAATTTAAATTTTTAAGCTTTTATCAGGTCAAACATCCCATTTGGTAGTCGGGTTTTATGCATCTTAATTGACTTGACTTCTATTATTTCAAAAAAAATAAAAATAAAAGTTTGAGGAGTAATGTTCTTTCTTCTCCTGCTGCTGGTATTATTGTTTTCTTCCTTTTCTTTTGAAAATTATATTTCGCTAATTTTATAAATTTTAATGCATAACAATAATTTCTACATTAAAACTGCATAAATAATATTCTTTCCATTCTATTTTAATAAATTTAACTTTTAATTAGTGGTATTTAAATTTAATTGTCAATTTTTTCTTCTTAAGATATCATTTAATA